ACAAGGGAAACCATGGGACTTATGTTTCTTTGGGCCTAGCTTACTTCACTTAATATAATTTTTTCCAAGTCTTTCCATTTCCTAACAAATGGGGCAATATCAGTCTTTCTGATGGAGGCATAGAATTCCACTGTATATATATGTGTGTGTGTGTGTGTGTGTGTGTGTATATATATATATATATATATATACATATCTATACATACATGTGGTATAGTACTAGCCTTGAGCTGAAGAGCTGAGGGACAGTACCCAGGCCCAGAGTTCAAGCCCCATGACCCACAGAAAAAAGAAAAAAAAAGAGTCCAGTAAAGTCAAAATAACTAAATTTCTCATTAATTCCTCTTCTTTTTTTATTTTGCCAGTCTTCGGTCTTAAACTCAGGGCCTGGGCACTGTCTCTGAGGTTCTTTTCCTCAAGGTTAGAACTCTACCACTTGAGCCACAGTGCTACTTCTGGCTTTTTGTTGTTGTCGATGATGATATAATACTGAGGAATCAAACTCAGGGCTTCATGCATGCTAAGCAAGCACTCTACCACTAAGCTACATTCCCAGCCTCTCATTAATTTCTTAATGATTTTTATAGTTTGATCCAGAACCTAAATATCTTTTTGAAAGAATAATAAAAATTTTGGCAGTAGCTAAATATCTAATTGCTACATGTATTGGATTTTCTTAGAGTGCAATAATAATATTTGTTTCACAATGAAGTTACATAATCAGTCCTTTGGAAGGCAGTATTAAGGCTTTTCCTTTAGTAATTCAATATGATTTTATTTCTAGTCTCAACTCTACCATTAGATAATGAATACCCTTGGACCATTCACTCCCCCTATTAAAGTCTGTTTCAGAATCTTAAAAATAATGTGGTGAAGAAGAATTGATTTTTCAATATGTTTTTATTTTAAACCTGCTAAATGCTAGGTAGTACAGCACAGGTCAAGAAAAGGGCTGAAGTCCTATAATCTGGACTAGAGTCTGGTCAGATGCAGGCCACGTGACTTGAGATGTTTCTGAACTAATTTTTGCTTCAGCTTTGGAATATGTGATATGCAGACAACAATCAACCAAACCCAGAGGATTTTTTATGTGCATAGTTTTATATGTGCTTAGAGGTGAGGTGCAGGATAAATTAAATAAGAAATTTGGGTACAGTGATTTTTACATAGAAGTATATTAGTATAATTAGACTATCAAGTGGAACAAGAGGCCGAAGTGAAGACCATATTATCTAAATATGGTAGCCAATAGTCACATGTGGCTTTTAAGCCTTTGAAATATGCTTAATCAAAATTGGGATGTGGTACAAGGAAAATGCACTCTGCATTCTAAGATATAGTATGAACAAAATGACAAAATATCTCATTAATTATTTTAATATTTTGTACATGTTGAAATTATAATATGTTGGAATGCTAAATATATTGGCTTAAATCAGTGTCATTAAAAATTAACTTCACCCTTTAAATTTTTTTATGACTGTAGCTGCTGGAAAAATGTTAAATTAACTATGTAGTTTGCACTCTACTAGATCAATGATTACATTCCTAATCAGTTGAAACTCATCTAGCTACTTCTACTGTGCTTTCAGTCAAGCAAATCTGAACATCAGGAGGTATAATCCATGCCCCCTTAACACATGTAACTTTTCAATTCCTTTCTCTTAGTAGCTTGCACATCTGTCCTCATTTCCAGCTCCCCAGCTGCTATAGGTTATTATAAACCCATTTAACTTCTTTTTCTACCTAATGGCTCCTCCAATCGACACTGCTCCTTCAAGCTTTCAGTCTCCCCAAGGCCTTCAGAGACATTCAGAAGTCTTCGTCAGGACATTAGATTCCTTTCACAATTGACCTCAAGTTTTTGAACACTCTAACCAACACTCTAGCTTATCATGTCTTCACAAGTGCCTTTCTCCTGTATGGCAGTTCTCCATGCCCAGTCCAGCTCATCACAAACAGCAAAATGGTTAAGAGTTAGAGAGCAGAGTTGGAGTCTTAGCTCTGGAAAGTATTGTCAAACTTGTAAAAAGTTAATAAACCTCACTGATCCTCACTTTCTTTTAAGGAATAAAATGGACCCAAAAGAGAATTTTTGTAAGGATTAACTAAGACAATACCTGATATGGCAACTGATCCAATGTACACCTATGATAAATGTTACTGTGCATTTCCTGGAGACATGTTCCCTGTCTGTGTCCCAACACACACACACACACACACACACACACACACACACACACACACACACCTCTACCCAGACTACCCCAGTTTCTCCCTTGAGCTTCCTTACTATTCTGAATACTTCTCAACCATACTGCCAATCAGTATTTAGTTGTCTGTTAACTTACTGATTCTTGCCTCTAGGTAAGCGATTCTCAAAGTGTGATCAGAGGAACAACAGACCTAGCATCAAGTAAGAAATCATTAGAAATACAGATTCCTATTTTTACAAAAAGAAGAAAGAAAGAAAGATTCTTGGGACTTATCCCAGAACTCTTGAATCAGAGACTCTAGGACTAGGGTCCCCCAATCTGCATTTTAACAGACCCTCAAGGTCTGTCTGATATTATACATTTGAGAACAACTGCTAGATTAGGTTTCACTGGTCCGTATCATATCTGCTTCATGTTGTACTGCTGCTCAATTCAGTGACTAGGTTAAATGGAAAAAAAAATGGTTGACTGAATCCTGGTGACAATCTGGGGTTCAAAGATATCAAGTCGGGGATGCCATGGTCTGATTCAGGTAGAAAAAAGGAACTACTCACAACAAGTATGTGTGGCTTTTCAAAGTATTCCTACAAACTCATTGTAAAAATGTATTACTTTAATGTTATACTTGTATGTTGTGTTTTATAATCTGCTGGGGAAAAGTAGATGTTTCTGAATATAGGTATACAAATATGATTCACAAAATACAATTTAAATGTTCAAAATTAGTTCTAAAATCTTTTACATATTTAGTGTTTATGGGCTTTCTATGTAGCATAATCTTCTATTTTGATTGTAACATCAAATATTTATAATAAATATATTACAAAGTTAAAATAGTTAAAGTTTGATGTTAATATAGAAATAGCAACAATCTCATTTTGTTTGAAACTATATCTTAATATAGAGACTATATTATTCATCCTATTTTGGGTTGAAGTAAAATAATCACCTAGCAGTTTTTCAAGTAGAAGATATTACTGTTCAATTTTTTAAGTATTGATATAAATATGTAGTGTAAAAAAATTAAAGCCGTTGCAGGCATCTGATTCTTGACAAATGAACCAAAAACATGCATTGAAGACAATTTCTTCAACAAATGGTGCTTGGCAAATTTGATATCCACATGTACAAAACAGAAACAAGATCCTTATTACTCTGACAAAAATTAATTCAAAATGGGTCCAAATTTTTATTGTAAAACATGAAAGTTTGAGACTACTAAAGGAAAGCCTTCAGAAAACATTTTAACCTATAGGCATAAACATCAGAATTCTAGTAGCTCAAGGTAATAACAGCAAAAATAGACAAATGGGATTATTTCAAAGTAAAAGCCTTTGCACAACAAAGCAAGTAATTACCAGATTGAAGAGACAACCTACAAGATGGTAGAATATTTTTGCCAATTATCCACCAGCTAGAATTATCCAGAATATATAAAATAAATTCAAGAAAATTAAACATCCAAAAAGCAAATAATGCATTAAAATGGACACATGAACTGACAAAAGTTAGAAGCCCAGATGGCCAAGAAATATATGAAACATTGTTCAATATCTTTAGCCATCAGGGAAATGCAAATCAGAACTACACTGAGATTTCATCTTAGAATGGTTATCACCAAGAAACCAAAAGAACAGAAACAAATTCTGAATGAAGATTTGAGGCAAGAGTAATCTTCATACATTGTTGTTAGTAATGTAAATTAGTCCAGTCACTATGGAGATTAGCATGTGGAGTCTTCAAAAAACTAAAATTAGAAGTACCATATGATCTAGCTATAACACTCCTGGGTGTTATAAAGGAGTGTCTTCCTTTATATGTGTTTAATGGATCCTTAAAGGAATCAAAGGCAGCTTAGAACAGACATACCTCTATATCCAAACTTATTCAGGCATGAGTTATAGACTAAGCCTCAGTACCTATGAATGGTTGGATAGATTAAAAAATATGGCATATGTACATAGGTATATATGCATTTTAAAATATGAACTAGGAAGTTGAGCAAGCTTTGATTATTTCTTACTTTGTTGTTTTCCTTTTTCCACATGGAACATCTACTAATATATTTTGCTCATTTTTCAATTGGTTTGCTTGCCCCTTTTATTTGTATGAGCTTATATACTGTACTTGTCAAGCCTTTTGCTGAGATAAATGTGCTTCAAATATTTTCTACCAACTTCTCACTTGGCATTTAAGCCTTTAATCCATTTGAAATTTATTGTGATATCTTCTACAAGACTGGAATCCAATGGGATGTTTTTCCACTTGGAGGCTAGACAATGGTTGAATAATCCATCTGGTCCCTGTTAATCTGTGATGCCTACTTGGTAAGGCTCAGGTGCAAAGAATCCATTCCAAGACCTTTGATTGTGATTTAGCCAATTACTCTACAGATTCTTGAAAACAGATTTAATTATTGTATTATCATGTAGGGGGCTTTGTTTCAAAAATCTTTTTACCTGTTCTTATTGCTTTTATTATCACTACAGCTGAGATGTAGAATAATTCTGACAAGGTAAAATATAAATCTTGACATGTAGCAAACTCGATTTAGGGAATGGAGGGTGAGTGATTTCTGTACTGCGTTGACCTTGGGTCACATGTAAACTGTGGTAGCCTCTTCTATCAGTCACGCTTTCCCTGTTCATGTTGAAGTCCCTCCCATCACATGGGTCTTAAAGCATATGAGGCTGGCCAATGCTATCTAATCACAATTCATCATACCAAGGTGGTCCCCAACCTCCTTGTCCAGGCTCTTGGACTTTATGTCTGCCTTCTCCACAGGTTGTTCTGCAGAACCTTCTGGTATGTGTCATCCTGTTCTACACAGTATACTATGCATCTCTATGCATGTTCTGCCTGATACTCAAGTAAGTGGCACATTGTCTTCCAACAGAATAATAAAGGAGTTTGTGTTTAATATTTGACAGGTCTTTAGGGATTAGAAAATTCAGACTTTTATGGCATTTGAGTTAATTAAAATAAATATAATTCGATGTCCTATCTTTGAAAATAATCAAAGTAGCTATTATGAAATGATAGTGAATAGAACCAGGAAGAACTCTTCTTACCTCTGTGGATGGCTGTCAGGGAAAGAGAATGGGAGTCTATTACTTCCTGAGCTGGTAGTCAATCAGAGGAAGTTTGAACTAAATGAGTGATTACAGATCATGTGGGTTTGACTTACATACCTTCTGATAAATATTGGAAGCAGCTTTGGACAGTAGATAAGAATACCTAATTCTAGCCAGATTCTGGCCTAGATTCTTAGTAACTTCCAAATTTATATTGACCAAGCCGTAAGAGCTTCTTTTATTTTAGTGTCTTCATTTGTCCAATGTAAATAAATAATAATCCAAAAAATAGTTATTATGGTGATAAAATCAAAATAGTCTATGTGTTTTTAATGGTATCATTTCTATGGAAGTGTAATTTTTTTGTCTTGCTATGGTTGAAAATTTTTTCTACAAATTTAGGTTGCCAATAAAACTGCTTTGAAATAAACTATGTATAGATAGATAGATAGATGTAGATATACATATATATATATATATATATATACAAGTAACTTCCAACAAATTGAATGTTTCCATAATGTAATTCCATTACAAGCCAGAAATTCCATTTTAATTTGAAAATTAATAACAAAAGTAGTTGGAGTGGCTTTTGCAATGGAAAAAGAATGTCATTCAACATGCTTACCAACCTACAGAGGAATCATGTAGTTCTCATACATAGTCTAGCATCTGCCCGGGCTGGAGCATACCTGGAGCAGGAAATTGGCAAGACTTGGGGTCCTCTGAACATGGTAGTTCAAGAGTTTATAATGAACCTGGGCCAGCGGTTCAGATTTTTATAAAATTGGACCTTAAAGCTCCAGCTGGCAGCTAAATTATTGACTAAATACACAGTTGCAAACCTGGGCACAGCAGAAAGTTAGGTATATGCTTTATAAATTCTGTTTTTAGAATCAGAAGGAATCTCACAGTTTAATCTCTTCAATTTACAGCTAAGAAACTTCAGCCCAGAGAGGCTAAGTATTGTCCAAGTTCACCATTATAATGCCACCAGGATTAGAACCTGGGTCTTGGTGCCTCTAATCCCTTTCTTTCCCTGTATTTAAAGTTCTCCCACATTTAGAAGGAACTACAAAGATTACATCAGACATCTCAAAATAAATTTAAATCCAAATGGTTGACAGAGTGGATTTAATTGGCAAAGAAGAAAATGTAGACTCTTGACAAGAGTATGTAGACAAGAGTATGTGGTGGTTTAGTATGTGCTGGCCATCCAAGTTGGCTAGTTTTCAAATGTGCTCAACATGAGGAAACTCAGTGGCCTATATGAGAATCTTCGATGTGCCCAGTTATAAACTATCTCTTTCAATGTAAATCATTTTCATTTGTTACACCTCAGGGTATATGACTTGGACATCCTGGCCCCATTTGATTTCAAAACGAGTCCTTCATGGCTGAACACAAATTATAAAGGTAATTATTATTAATTTTCAATCCTGTCAATCCTGCCTCCAAAAATCAAAACTTCTTTAAAATAAAAACTGTTAAAATATTAGGCTTTCTAGACAATCTTAGGTATATTATATCTGACTTCAAGAATTAATTAGGAAAAGAGTTATAAAATTTTGAAGTGGCTGTTCTGGACCATGTAACTGGGTAATATAAGAAGGAGAAGGGAAATAGAACTCTTACATGAACTTTTAAGGTATTGTGGATAAATTTTTGTTTTTGTGTGTTGTAAAGAAAAGGGGGATAAAAGCAATGAACTGATGTAGAAAAGTGGGAGATACAAAATAGAAAATATGGCAGTGAAGGAGTCTGTACAACATAATTTCATTTTTGAAGAATTAAATGTATGGAGTCAGTGATAAGAAGTCTAGAAAATTATTCCACTAATTGTTATCTCCCAACTGGGATCACAGAAAACTTCCATTTTCAACTTCATACATTTCTGCTTTCCCTTATTTTTCTTCTTTGTTACAGAGGAAATATGCAGAACAGTAGTCTATCAAAGATGGACCATAATTAATTGAATACTTCAGAACAGAGGATCTGGAATGTGCTCAACACACAGGAAATTGATGTGTGTGAAGTGATAGATAAGCCAGTTACCCTGAGCCGATCACTACAGATTATATACTAGAACTGAAATGCCACATGATGTTAGAAATGTTTAGCTACGATGTGTCAATTGGAAAACAAAGTTTTATGAAACATACAATTAATTGCAGAGAAACAACAATAAGAAAGAATATACTTAAGAAAATTTCTTTCTTTTAAATTTAATGAATACATTGTTTATTCATAAGCTGTATTTATGGTAATAAAAGCATCTATTTCTGTTTGACTACATGTCAAACATAGTTCTTTTCAGAGTGTTTGTGAGTTTGCCTCATCTTCGGAAAAGTAAAATTTTAATGTCATCTTCCATTATTGACACCTTGGAAATATCTGTAAATAGAAAAGAGTAAAGAAAATGATCAGATTTATTTTCTACATGTAATAATTCTTAATATTCTGTAAAAACTTCTCCCTAATTAATTCACTAGAAGTCCATGGAGCAATCTTTTTTTTTGTGGGAGGGGGAGGGATATGTAAATATTCAAAATTGCCCATGGCCAAAGAAATTAAATTTCAAATGTGATTTGTCTAGGAAACATGGTCACCTAGAATTACTGAATTCAAATAAAAACCTTTAAAACATCGTTCTCAAATACATGAACTCTCTGGTGCCATTATTTATTCAGTTTTGGATGCCCAAAATATATATGATTATGATTATTGTAAGGAGTTGCAATAGAGCTAATGTTTTGTCTTAACTTACTCCTCTTCATGAATCTCCCTATTGGAAAATAAATTTGCTTTTTTTTTTAAACCAAGACACTCCAGAACTGATAAAGAAATAGTAGCAATGAGAAGAGTCAAGTATAGACCATATATGTGTGTTAAGTAAGAAAAGAGATTTAAAACTCAACTGCTATTATTTAAGTCTGTCTTTAGGCCAGTCAATAAAGATAGGACAACAAAGACTTATTGGAGGAGATTGTTTATACAGGGCAAAGCTTAGAGATGATCTCACGATGTCCAGCTCAGTTTATATCATGTTACAGAATAAGAACATTTTCACAAAGATATCAATAAACCCACAGTTTATTGAATCTCAAATTTGGGGTTTTAGGAGATAAATGCTATCACTCTTCAAAGTTGTTGCTTTGAGCATCTAGAGTTGTTTAATTTTGGACATAAAATGTAAGAGTAATCTCAGGGGCCTGGATATAAGGTCTGCTTCAATAATTCTGTTACTCAAGAGATAAGTTTTAATTAGGACACTGGAAAATGTATATCAGGTGAAACCATTTTAATTACTAATACCTTTCTTGTGTCTGGCACAAGCAATAATTTACAAATTCCTTTCATTTTAAACTAAAATCCTTGCAGCAATTTTTGAGGTAGATAAGACTGTGTTCCATTTCCAGTTTAACTAAAAGGGAACAGATTGAACCAGATGTCAAAATCCTATTCAAGTTCTTAAAACTCTTAAGCTGTGAAGGTGAGCATAGAATGCTGGTGTTCTGACCTCGGATTCTGTATGATTTCCTTTAAATTGTACTTTCTTCTTTCATATCAAAAATGGAGCTTAAATACTCCTCAATAACATATGCAAATACAGCTCATTAAGCACTAAAGTCATATTTCCAAGCAGCTGAACTTTAACCTACAAAAATCTCTAAATGCTGATAAAAGAAGCATCTCCATGTTCTTGGAAGAAGGAGACAGTCTGGTAGAAGAGAGCTCAGCATGAACAACACAGCCACTTCCTTGAGTTTAGGATGTGGAATATACTTACCCAATCTATACTGGCCAAAGGAACATCCATGCAATTGAAATGCAGTCAGTTATGAATTATTCATTCAACTTTTGAAACCTTGAAGAAGAATAAGCTTGATGCCTTTCAAAAGATGGGTGTTTGGGACTTGTTTGTGTTATGCCTTGTTCACTGAGCAATCACCAGCTTGCTGGTTAATAAATTACTTCTGCACAATAGAAAATAAGGTGATTCTTTTATTTCCTGCTTTGAAATATGTAGTGCTTACCTGCCCACATTTATTGATTCCTGAATTATATGGATATACCAATCAGTGGATAGGTTATAAAAAGAAAGAAACAATTTTTTAAAATAAAAAAGTGGCATTATTAACAAAAGGACTTTGGTGCTATATCAAATGTATTTGTCACCTTAAAGTTTGATAAAACTCTCCTTTGAAACTACTACAGTCTGATGGAACCTTCTAGAAGGCAAGAGGCAAACCATTGACCCTTCACATGTTTAAGGCTCTTAGAGATTTGTGATCTTGACCTGTAAATAACTATCTTTATATGTGTTCAGGGAAACTATTCTGTGACAACCATTGAATTTAGAAGTGTTTCCATCAACACCTGCCATTTATGAGGCTCTATTTTATCCATGGTGATAAATTATGCTTCCCAGATGACTATCTGAACATATTAAATTATTACAAAAACACAGAGGAACTTATTTCCAAGTTAGTTGCTCCTGGGTACCAAAGAAATGCTACAGTTCAATAAAACTCTTACTCTGAGTTTTCAGAAATAAAAACTCATAACTGAATTCTTTCATTAATTTTATTACTTTTTTAATGCCTTTTAAAATGAGATTTGTAATCCAACAGCATATTTGCATGCATAGGTTGTATTATAATATTTACTTGTGGTATTTTTATCTTCACAAATACCAAGTGCAAAGAGTATGAAACAGAAATTGTATTTTGTTATTTTTATCTGTAGATCTAACAATGATCAAAAAATAAAATATATTAGAAATTTTTACCTGTTTTTGAGGACTGGGTAAAAGATTGAATGCTGCCCGTGTCTAGCAGATTCTGGGGTGATGAGTAAAGAAATACCCATGCCAAGAATAATTCTTTATTTCACCTACAGGGTAAGGAATGGGTCTAATAGAGATTAGTAAACCAAAGATAACTCCTCAACTCCATGCTTGTATAGGCTCAGATTGGCCCCTGTCTTTCTTAAGTGAGTTACTGGAAACATAAACAAAAGGATATTTTCTAAGAAGGAGAGAAGAAATCAGGAAGTACTAAGGTTAGCCGTATTGGTAACACATCCAGGATACCTGGAATCACTGAGATAAGTATAAATAGAGACTCCTGTCTTTTGATAGGATTTCTGCATGTCACCACTCTTAATCCTGTATGTTTGCTTACAGGGATAAATGGCTATGAGAACAACTTTTCCACTGGCATCATTCAAAATCCAAGCACATTAGTCAAGCCTCCTGCATCTAGCCAATCACAGTCCTACTGGGATTTAATGTTCCCACCATGGGACATTAAAAGAAAAAAGTCTTACCAAAACTTCTTTAGTGAAAGTGTTCATAGTCTTGCTGTCAATTATATTACAGAATTATTAGTTGCTCTAATCTCAGATGATTATCTCTTTTATTTGTAGTTCTTTTGGTCTCGACAGAGCTTACCTACCTTGTTTGTGGATTGCTTTTTGTTCTGGTTGTTGAAGAATGGCTTTGGGATTATGCCATTTCGGTGACTTTTATCCATGTTGTTATCACATCGACTGGTAAGTCTAAGAAAACAGAAGCAAATAAAATGTATTATATCTGATGCTATAGTTAGAACACTCCCTAAGAGTTATAAACTGCTTACTTCATGGAGACATTTTGACAGCACCACCTTCCAATTTGGGACAACCCTGGAATGTATAAATGTATGAATGGTTCCCATTCTCTTTTCTCATTCACCTTGCCTTCTACAAAAGTATTCCCTGAAAATGGTAAAAGATGAGGAACCAAGGCTCAAGGAAAGGTAGAGTATTTTAGGACTGTCAATGTCCCAACAATGATTCTCTTATGAAGAATATAAGTTTAAAGATGTTTTCATTTCTATTGGAGATCTTTGGATGCAAGAAAAAGCATTCACATTTCAGTTGTAACTTTTACTACGAGTGCATCTTACACTTCTCTGACATCAGTATCTTTCTCTTAAAAAAATAAAAAAGGAGGGAGATGTAATGACATTTAAATGACGTTGTAAAAAAATCGCCTGACACAGCATTTAGGAAATGGCAATTACTCAGATGACTTTTTTTTTTTTTGGTCCCTTGTGGGGTTTGAACTCAGTGCCTGGGTGCTATCCCTGAGCTTCTTTGTGCTCAAGGATTGCACTCTTGCCATTTTAGCCACAGCACTACTTGTGGTTTTTGAGTGGTTAGTTGGAAATAAGAGTCTTGTGGGGACTTTTCTGTCCAGGCTGGCTTTGAATTGCAATCCCCAGATCTCAGCCTCCCTTGTAACTAGGCTTATAGGCATGAGCCACTGGTGCCTGGCTTAGGAGATGACATTTTTATCCATCCATTCAAAATTTACTTTTCCACTCCTACATTTTTTCCCCTTCAGTATCCCCAACTATGGTTTCAAAAGCATACTAGGCAAAGTATTTTAATGGTTATTATTATTTATTACAAGTTAAGTCATTGTCATATTGTAGTGCCCTGAACTGTTGAGAGTGTAAGCTGGCTCCAGCTTTATAAGCACAGTTTCCGGAAAAACTGCTACTTCCCAGCCTTATAGCTGTTTGAGAATGCTAGTATATTGACCCTCTACCATGAATTTTATTGAACAGAAACCTTCCATCACCAACTCAGGGAATCTTAAGGCTCCATTCTCCCCATAGAAAGTTCTCTATTTTACTTTAGGACTCCAAGATTTCCTGCAAGACAAACAAGATATTTATACAAACATTTAGTGGCATACAGTAGCCAAACCTTCAGGTTGAAATAAGCTATAAGTCTGGACACAGAGAAGTTAGTAGCTCACTGTTTAACACATAACAAGTAGAAATTGCTTACCAAAGGATTGCTTGCTAGAACAGAGTTCTAGGAGAAGTAATTGAGAATTCTAGAGGGAACAATGTTTGGAGGATTCATTATGGTCATAAAGCCATCACTGTTGTACTTTCCATCCAATCAACCTAGTGAGTGGACGTCATTCTTTAGAGAGGAGTTCCAAATATTTGACATTATACAAGGACTCTTTAGGCAGGCTTAAATACAAACATGAGGCTACCCGGGTTCATGAATGTGAATGACATTTTTTTACTATGTGGATATGATTTGGCCAAAAAGAAACAAGTATTTCCTCATAAGTAATAAAAAAAATAAGAGTTCTGAAAATGAACAGTATTTTTTTTCTGTTGCAGTTATGTTGGAATTCCCATTGACATCACATTGGTGGGCTGCTTTAGGTATAGTTCTAGTCTCTGTTCTCTACTGCAAATGATTATGATGATGATGATGATGATGATGATGATGTTGATAAAGATCAACAATCAAGTAGGCTAGATTTTGAAAACAGTACAGTATGGGGAAAACCACACCTGTCAGGTTCAAAGAGCATAGTGTAATAAAGTCCATTTAAGTGTCTCAGCCCTTTTCTCCCTATCAATACAGTCTAGAACACAGTAGAAATTCTCATGCATGCAGAGCAGGAGCACCTTAATAAAATGTAGTCAGACCTGCAAGGATTATTTCATGCTGGCATTGTCCATTCATGGATTCAACGTTGAGCAGCAAATGCACAGGGAACCATCTGAGCCTTTTCCCCTTCAAGACATGATCGTACGAAGGCCCAGGATGGCTGTGAACCTGTAATGATCCTGCTACAGTGCTGAGAAGATGGCTATATACAAACATGCCCTAACTGTTCTGAATCTTCTTAATTCTTATACAATACATAACTTGAAACCAAGGAAATGAACTGTAATTTACAATATTTTCAAGTTCTTACAATTGAGGAGTTCTACAAGGCACCTAATTGTATGAGGAAAGATTTCCATTGTGGTATTCTAATACTATCATTTCCTAGAGGTGCTCAAACACATTTAGCTCACTTTTAATTTTGAACAATGTAGTCTAAATACTACATTTTCCTTAGAATTTTGTCTTATAAAAAATGAAAATCACCTGAATGCCAATAGATCAAGCCTGTAATCCTAGCTACTCAGGGGGCTGAAATCTGTTCAAAGCCAGCCTAGGCAGAAAATTCCCCAAGGCTCTTATCTCCAATTAACTACCCCAAAGTCAGATTGTAGAGTTGTGGCTCAAGTGGGATAGCACCAACTTTGAGAGGAAAAAAAACAACGATGTAAGAGCTCAAGGCCCTGAGTTCACATCCCAGTGTTGGCAATAAAGAAAAAAGTCAAGATAAGAAACAGCAAACATACAGGAAGTGATATTGTTATCATTTGAACTTACTTATTTATAGTTTTCCTTAATCACATTATGTAACATTTAGAAATTTAGGAAGGAAAATTAGCACTACAAGACGAATGTTTCTTTGTACTAATAAGCTGTAACATGGAATAAGCCGGATGCTTCCAAACAGATTTCAATATTTGTCAAGTATGGAAACTATTTACTTCCAAATCTGTTGCGTTTGGCTCCCAAATAGAAAGATTATATAATTTTTTAAAAAATATTTTTCGTCTTGATCTGGCACTAATCTTGCCTAATATCTTCAATCTGTTTTGAAAACAGCAAGCAAACCCAAACATTTTCTTGTATTACAATTTTAATAGTCCAAATAATATTAATAATACTTACACTTATTTATCACTTACTATAAGCCAGGAACATTGCATTTATCTCACTAATGTTTATTATAATTCTGTGAGATAAACATTATGTTCTATCTTGTGAATGTAGACACCAAGCTTATAGAATTGAAAAATTTGATAGAATTTCCACAGCTTCTTCTTTTTTTGGGGGGGGGGGTGTTGTCCGGTTGTGGGGCCTGAACTCTGGGCCTGGGCACTGTCCCTCAGCTCTTCAGGTCAAGGCTAGTGCTCTACCAATTGAGCCACAATGCCGTTCTGGCTTTTTTCTTTTTACTTATGTGGTGCTGAGGAATTGAACCCAGGGCCTCAAGCATGCAAGGCAAACACTCTACCACTGAGCCACCTTCCCAGCCCTCCACAGCTTCTTCTTTTTTTTTTTGTCTGTCGTGGGGCTTGAACTCTGGGCCTGGGCGCTGTCCCTCAGCTCTTCAGCTCAAGGCGAGCGCTCTACCACTTGAGCTACAGCGCCACTTCCGGTTTTCTGGTGGTTTATTGGAGATAGGAGTCTCACGGTCTTTCCTGCCCGGGCTGGCTTTGAACTGCGATCCTCAGATCTCAGCCTCCTGAGTAGCTAGGATTACAGGCGTGAGCCACCAGCGCCCGGCTCCTCCACAGCTTCTAAGATGAGCACTGTAATGAGATTTTCTTTCTGACAGAGATTACTACTAGAGAGGCTCCCTTGTAGAAATGCTGAAATCTGGGGCTATCATTGTAAGAGATGTTGCAGTAAGACAATAATGAACAAGATGAGATGTACAAGTCATTATGTCGGAAAATGAACTTAACAACCTTAGTGGGGGGTGGGGAGGGGGGAGAAGTATGGGAAGGGATGGGAAGGGGAAACAAAGAGGAGGCAACAATGCTTGATAAGAAATGTACTCGTTATCTTGCCCATGTAATTGTAACTCCTCCGTAAGGTATTCTCACAATAAAAAAAAAAAAAACAATAACAACAACAAAAGTGCCATCAGTAGGTACTAGAAATGAACTGAAGAGAAAAGAATATGGACTGATCAGTTAAGGTCATGAGCTTCCGTGGGGCCTTATGTTGATTTTTCGTTCTTTTCTTTTTTTTTTTTCAAATCAAACCAAGCAAACATTAAGACAATTTAGGAAGAAACCTACAAAATTCAAGGTATTTGTTATCAAACAGTTGGAAAATAGAAAAGTAGAGAATGACTTACTTTTCATTTTCAAGGTGTGCATGCTCATGTGTGTGCACATGTACTGGTAGGACGGTTTGAACTCAGGGAACTTGCACTGTGTCAGCTTTTTGCTCAGCTGTTGTAGTACATGAGCCACATTCTCAATCTAGCTTTCTTCCTGGGGATGAAGACGGAATCACTTGGATTTTTTTTTTCTGTCCTGGTTGGCTTTGAAGCATGTTTCTTTTTTTAAAAAAAAATTTATTGTAAAGATACTGTATAGAGGGGTTACAGTTACATGAGTAAGATAATGAGTACATTTCCTATGGAGCATTGTTACCCACTCCTTCGTTTTGCCCCTACTATCCCTTCCCTCCCCATCTCCCCAACTTCTCCCCACTCCTGTCCCTGCCCCAAAGTTGTAAAGCTCGTTTTCAGCATAGTGTCTTGTATATCTCATTGTTACAATGGGTCAACCTGTGTCCCTATTTAAGCATTTTGTTTTTTCCCTTCCCCTCCCCAAATTAGAAAAAATGTATATACAAGATGCAGAGAACCAGAATCAAATGCAGTGACAAAAGGTTATACCATAGGAGAAAGAACATACAAAAAAATCATAGTACTTTAAAAACAACAGCAACAAAGAAAAAACCTCTTGTGTCCATATCTTGGGGTTCATTTTGCTTAGCATCATCTTATATGGTCAAACGTACAAAGCTTTTGACCTTTTCTGCTTGTCTGGTAAGATCCTAGACATATACTAGATATTGCAAATAAGGGAAACCATGGGACCTATGTTTCTTTGTGTCTGGCTTACTTCTCAGTGTCCAGAGTTGTTAGGATTACAGACTTGAGTGGCCAGAACTCATTTACATTTTAAGTATTTAAAGCAAATGTTGAGTAATGTTTACATAAAATATTCAAACCCTTACACAGTGCCTGGCTCACAGCAGAGTGTCAATAGTATTTGTTGTGCTTGTGTAGGTAGAATTAAATAAAAGGACATAAAGTACAGAGATGCTTCTAGCATGTCCTATGTACATTTGGGCTTCTAAGAGAAAACATATTCCAGTAGACTACCAAGGAGCCTGGGAAGATTAAAAAGAAAACAGAGGTCAGATAGATAGATAGGTAAATATATGATATGATATACTATTTATGTTACATATGTATCTATTTGTATATAGAGAGCACAAAAATATAGTTATATGACCAGGTAACTGGACTATCTGGCTACCCAAGGACACCCTCTTTACTTCATAAATTATATTATTGGCTGGTTCTAGTGACTTATGCCTGTAATCCTAGCACTCAGGAGTATGAGACAGAAAAATTGAAAGTTTGAATATAGCCTCTAACTTTCATACAAGTTTAAGTTTACATAACTCAGGGTTGCATAACAAGACTTTATTTCAACTAAACAAACAAAAGTTTAGGAACTAGAGGCATGGCTCAAGTGGTACAGCACCAGCCATGAGTAAAAACAAAGACAAAAAAATAAAAAAAAAAACACAAGAAGAAACTGGGCACCAATGGTTCATGCCTGTAATGTAATCCTAGCTGCTTAGATGGCTGAAATTTGAGGATCATGGTTCAAAGCCAGCCCAGGCAGGAAAGTCCATAAGACTCTTATCTCCAAGCAACTACTCAAGAAAGCCGGAAGTGGTGCTGTGGCTCAAGTGGTAGAGCACTAACTCTGAGGAAAAAAAAAGAACCTCAGGAACAGTGACCAGGCCCAAGACTGGCAAAAAAAAAAACCAAGCCAAACTAAAACCAAGCAAGAGTATGACTCTTAGTTGAAGCCCTAGAATTGTCTCTCCTCACACACACACACACACACACACATTATCTTCATAGAACTTTAAAAAGCAGTGAAACCACATTCAATTATTTTTTCTGCTTGCAGATTGAACTGGATATATTATATTATTCATACATCCAGTAGGACAATGAACAAAATCCTGTTATCTGTTTTTAGTATCAGTATTACTTATATTACTAATGAAGTCTACTCATTAGGGCTTAACTCTCCTCTTGCCTTGCATATCTGTAAATCTAAATGTGTAATTTTTTTCCATTGTTATTTTGGACATCCAAAGAACATATAGAGCAAGTGTTTTTATTTGTCAATAGCTTTTTAAAGATGTAAATTTTTAATTCACTGATTTAAAAAAGTAACAAAAGAAATTCTGTAATCAGGACTGGAGATAGCACAGGCTTGCGTTCAGGCCTAGTACTAGAGCCTGGGTTCAATCCCTACCACTGAAAACAATGGTGTAGAAATAATGCTTTTTCTCTCTGAAAAATAATCTGTCTCCTCAGATTTTATTTACGATAGCACAGAATGTGCGCTAACATAGCCAGCTGAGTCATGCAACAGATAGCCACAGGGGTGTCATGAAAGTCAACTTGGAGGAATGGCTAAAGGAGTTTGATAAAAATCATTATTTTTGTTTCAACAGTTGGGTTGAGTTAGAGTACAGC